AAGCACTTAACTGACACTCAAACAAAACAATTAACAGCTAAAGCAAATAAAAATCAAATAAATTCAATAATAAAGGAGACTTCTGTTCAGGTTCAACTTACTTATTCCCATGGTTGATTTTATGGCAAGTGCAATAGATTAATTTGTCATTGGCTACCGATTAATGTGATTAGGTTCATGTTCACTATTACTAATCCTTAGAAAAAAGATCAATTCAAACAGTGGCCAATTGGTTAAACTAATAAGTTTTCTAGTTTATTGATTCGGGTTAAGTAAGACTTGTAGTTAGCTAATTAAATTACTAATTCAATTAACTTATTGTATGGTTGTTCGTCACACAAGCTCACACATTGACTTACCTATTTTCTAATTAACCCCTAGTTTCATGTTCACTATTCCTCGGCATATAATATTGTTTTCACATAATTTATATGAGACAAGCAATTAAGAGATGTTCATGCAACTTAATAGACTTGCTAATTAACAAAAAGTATTTATTGTAAACACATGAGGATCTTTAACAAGCTTAACAAAACAAAATTCACCAAATTAAATAATCCAAGCCATAAAATTCAAACCATAGTTATAGGTTTGTCTACCCTAAACAGAAGCAAAGAGGTTTTAGCTCATATTCATAGCAGAAAATATCTCACAAACTAAACCTAATGATTTAAACATAATGTAAACACTAGATTAAGAAAAGAGAATATGGTTGTGCCTTTCGATCTCCTCAAAATTGAATGCTAGGGTTGATCCTCAATTTCCAGAGCTCCAACAGCACTCTTAATCGCAATTCAGTCTCCAAGGGTTCCAGAGATAAGTCTTTGTCTCGTGAGTTTATGCCCTTTATATAGTTTTCTGAAAACAGGGGCGACTCGTCGAGTCCATGACTGACTCGCCGAGTCCATCACTTAAAATCCGTGCGCGGTAAGGCACCCAATGGTTCTCGAATGTTCGTGTCTACTCATCGAGTAGGTGTCCAACTCGCCGAGTTCTTTAGGTTTTTGACTCTTTTTCTTCTTTATTCAATTCCCGAGCTTCGGATTGCTATTCCCGCTTCCTTTTGCTTCCGAGCACATCTTTTAGGCTGAAAATACAATTCAAACATAATTAAGTACCTTTCGTTCGTTAATTGAAATAAAATAGCCAAAAAGTATTAAGATTCTACACAAAATATATAATTAAATATGCACATATCAAAATACCCCACACTTGAATTTTGCTTGCCCCCAAGCAAAACTGAATTTTAGCACACTAGTATCACATAAGATAATCCCAATCAGAACCAACCATTATGCCAAGACCGCAACGCATGCATTTGTGTCTAATTTTTTTCCTAAGGACCCCCTCAATTCTAAATACTTACAATCCTCATAAACATTCGCCCACTTCTTTTGAACAACACTCATTTTATGCATCCCTCCGAATCCATCCGCAGAAAACTCTCTGTTCGAAGTGATTGATGAATATTTCAAGAGAGAATCTGTTCGAAGGTCAACTACAAAATTTTCGCTACTTTGTTGTCAGGGTGAATAATGTAGCATGTGAAAATCGCTGACTTCCCATTGATGATCTTGAATGATCTGATCAATGTGACAAAGATTCTAAGCACTGTTGATGTTTCGAAGCTTCAAATAAACAACAAGGATGATTTCCTTATAGGGTTTTCTCATATCAAGGTATTCATAGATAACTACTATGATTGCCTGGCAGTCACTGATATCGAGCTAGCAATGGCTGTTAATAGGATTTCGAAGGTTCCTCAGTCAATGCTGAAAGGGAAGATTGATCTCAAAGATTATGTTGATGGGGAGATTGTGCATAAACCTTTGGGAGTTGTTTTTCAAGGAAAAAGAAAGAATGGGAAGTTGACTAAGTTTTTGTTCCAAGTCTGTGATGTAGAGAGGTACACGAACTCTCAATATACAAGCCTTCTTGTTTGTCTCAACAATTGTAAACAAAATAATGCAGTTGATAAGGCTGAAATTCGAAAGACAATTATTCGGTATATGGAGGTTCGTCGAGTACTTCACCGGACCATGAAGCTGATGGCATGAGTTCGACACTTCTCACTAAGAGGGAGATTGTTACGGTCGAAATGTCTAGTGACGTGTCAAAGTCTTATTTGGTATGTGTAGTGTCGAAGTCTAGCACTTCACTATGTATGTATTTTGCAAGGTTCTAAATAATGTAAGGCGTGACTTGGCGGCAATGTCAAACCTCAAGCTTTTCCAAGCCTTGGCGAGCCACGTCGTTTGTAAGGCGTGACTTAAAGCGGCAATTTTGTATATAATTAATATTTTTATATGTATTTTAAACTATTATTCATTTTTATACACATATATGAGTTAAGGCGACATTTTGTTAAAACTTGGCGGCAGGTACAAGCCTTGGAGCCATGACGAGATTTTTAGAACCTTGATATTTTGTAAGGCACTGTTAGATGTCGAAGCGTAATGTCTAGTCCTTACATATTTTTTGTGAGTCTGTATCACCCTATAAATAGGGTCAGTATAGAAGTAGAGAGCAACTCTTGGGCACTTCGTTCACTTTCTCTCTCTTGTACTTGTATACTCTTTCAGACTAATCAGAGCCAAACAGAACTTATTTACGATTGTGTTCTTAACGCTTTCTGTTCTTGATTTTGTTCTTTATACTAGATTCAAACTAACTACAAACTCACAAATTAGACCAAACATCACGAGGACATATCGTGTAATTTACACTTTATAGTTAGAATAAAACATTTTTACTATGTTACTATATAATGTGTAAGATAAGGTTGTCAAAATTAAGATCTTACCTACGATAATTGTATGTTTTGCAAAATCATGATCGTAAGATCGGATCGCGATTGGAAGATCTTCAAAAGATGAACTAGTGTCCAAATTTTCTCGTAAGGTCTTGTTTGTGCAATATTCATTATAACATTATATTAATTAAGACATCGATATTGGAATCAACTCTAACTATAACTGTAATTTTTGTCAACTCGAACCACAACAATTAGGAAGAAAACTTCTTAAGTAGAAAAAATAATATCATTGTGATCATGTACACTTAAACACACAAGATCTCAAGATGTAACTTGTATGTTACAATTTTTTGCCTAATTCGAGAAAAATACATGACGTTTCTATTAGTTTTCTCACGACGTGTAATGCTTGATTTTGAGTTGAATGGACAAACTTTTGAGGTTCTACTTTTTCAAGGTCCATGGACATTTTTTTAGGCTTTGCATGCGATTTTTAAACATAAAGCATTAATTTTCTAGTGGTTGGAAGACAAAAGACAAGGTTATAGAATAAAGACTAAAGAAGCAAGATCAAATCGTGAGATAAAAGACATGGTTATAGAATAAAGACTAAAGAAGCAAGATCAAATCGTGACAAACTCTTATGACTTAACTCAATACAAATCTTGCTTTAAAGGCCATTTTAAATCAAGTTGAAAGCTTATTTTATTTAAATAAGTATATTTAAATATTTATTGTATTTTATTAATGTTCAAAGAGTATCATAAATAAGTATTTATTAATAATAAATAGTAGTTTTGGGAATACAAAAATTGATATGAAATAAATTTTTCTAAAGTCCTACAAAATTAGTGTTTATAAGCAAGATTATAAAGACTGAGATACTGCATACATGATCATTTTTCTAAATAAGATTGTGATCGTTAGATCATATCGGAATTGAAAGATCCTACAAAAAAATTATGGGAGAGCATGGGTTGGGTTGGGTCGGTTTTGGGGTAAAACCGAACCCAACCCGCACATTTCGGTTTTGGGTTTTAGAACCCAATTAGTTCAGGTTCTGACCAGGTTCGGTTTCTCGGTTTATGGGTTCAGCCTATGGGTTCACGGTTTTGGGTTTAAACATATTTTTCAGAGAATGTAAATAAGCTAACAAATTAATTCAATTTTTTTCAAGCCATTTAAAACAACCAAAAACACCAAAGTCAATTACATAGTTCAAAGAAATATTAAAACTATCAAGTTTTGAAGCTCATAACCAAAACATGAAAACAAAGTACATAGAAATAGTTGGGTTGAGTTGGGTTCAAATCAGTTTCAAAACCGTTCGGTTGGGTCGGTTTCAATGGGACAGTTTTGACAGAGAAAACCCAACCCCAACCAAAAAATTTGGTTTTTAAAATTCTAAACCTAAACCCGACGGTTTGGGCTCGGTTTTATCCGTTTTTGTTGGTTTTTGGGTTTTCAGTTTCGGTTTTGCTCACCCCTACAAAAATTAAACTACTCCCTACATTTTCTTGCATGGTCTAACGTGTGCCCAATACCCCGTTATAACTTGATGATGATTAAGACATCGATAGTAGAATCGACTTATAATTCTTAAGAATTAACCATTATTCTTGTAGATGCAAACTACAGTAATTAGGAAAAAAACAATTTAAGGTGGAATAAGAAACAAGATGATTGTGGCCATTATAAAGGCACAAGATCACATGGGCACACATAATTTTGTTCTTAATTCGAGATGAATGGATGAAGTTGTAAAGCTTTACGAGGCTTCTTTTGATTTGCAATGCTCAATTGCGAGCTAAACGAACAGATTTTTGAGGCTCGATTTCAAGTTGAATGGACAACGGGTTCTACATGGGAATTTTTAGCAAGTTGAAGAATTTCCTAGGATTTAGAATACTAAAGACTTGGTTATCAAATAAAAACTAAAGAGGTGAGATTAGATCATGATAAGATCTTAGGATCATAATCGTGATTGTAAGACCCAATACAATCTTGCTTCAGAATTGGTCCTAGCTAGTTTGATCAAGATCTCTAAACTTCGTGTGGTTCGACCAAATGGTGCGGTTTACCTTATTAAGATCAAGATCGAGATCTTAAAAACCATGTTCAAGTCAACTAAAATCCAAAAAGAACGAAAGGTTCATGAATTGCGGAAACAAACTTCTATTGAGGCTCATTAAAGACGCACGACAACAAACCAATTAAAACTGAATTTATTCATTATAATCAAAATGGCCAAGAGACATGTGAAAGTGGTTTTCATTAGCGTAATTCAACACGGAATACCGCATGTGTTTGATCATCCTTTTCACTGATTTCATCTGCTTGTGGCAAAGGTTTCCCGTCCAGAAATGCTTTGAATAAGGCAAGTGATCGCTCCGGTTGAGAAAATGGAGCTTCATGTGCTGCACCTCTTATGGTTGCATAAGATAAAAAATCACCATATACTTGTGTCCATCCCCCAACCTACAAAATAACTCAACTTCAGAAAAAAAAAAAAAAAACCCAAAGCTCATGTATACAACACTTTATCCAACATGCTTACCCATTCAAATATTCCCCTTAGATCCATTAAGTAAAATAAATAAATAATAATAAGTGAAATAACCTGGTTGCCATTGAACCAAGACCTGTATGGAATAGTTGTCTTCAACCCTAATTCCTTAGCCATGCCATTGATCACAACTCGTGTCCCAGTTAAAGGTAGGACCGAATCTTGATCGCCACTGAAAGAACCAAAAGCAGGATGCAATAAAAGACAAATCAATGAAAATACATTGTTGTTTCTTGCGTATTCACCTGTAAATAAAAACCCTAATGCCAGACTTGATAAGGGAAGCCAACAAAGGAGCCATTGGTACATCCAAATCGCTCATATCATAATTCAAATTGCTGTTGTAAACAAAAATAAGCAGATTGTTATTTATATTATATAACCTGAAATTTTATAAACTAAACCAGGATCTTAATTAAAACCGTTTATTACTCGGTACATGCGGCCCACGGGTTACCATCCACGAGCCGAGCATGTAAAGCGGTTTGCACATCTTTCCGGTTCAAGTACTCGGTTGTTTCATCCTCCACACAAACATCCACCTTCGTTTCCGTACCTTGCTGTCAAATAAAAACAGGCATTTACGTCTTTTCTTCCACAAATGCAGTAGAAATTGAAATAAGTGGGGAGTTGGTTAGCTCACAGTGTTATCGAGAACTTGTGACTGTGAGAAAACATTTGACAAACAAATGTTGAGAGTGATGTCATAAGCGTTAATGGATTGACCAATCTCCCTTGTAGCTTGATTTGCAACAAGAGTGCATTTAGGGGTGAGAGTATTGGATTCGGTTTGTCTTCTTATGGTTGAGTAGTTGCACTCTTTATTGAGTAATTCGTATGTATCATCTGATATCAAACCATGAGACCAAAGATACTCCCCCTTTAAATTAAAATCCGTATCAATATTCAATAGTGGATTGCCGATCTACACAACAAATGTTAATTTCATTAAGAAAAAACTTGATATGAACAAGAAAACGATACAAAAAAGAAAACATGGACTGAATTTACTCACTGCAATTCCCTTGAAATTGATCTTGGCTTTTGATTGAACTATGAGATTTGCTAGTGTAGGAACATAGTGTCCTGTAATCAACTATGAAAGTTAGCATACTAACTTTATATCAAAAGCTCTTTGATGTTTTTACATATATTACCTGCATAACTTTCGCCTGTGATATAAAAGTCTCTATTCTTGTACTCTGGAAAATTTTCAAACCATTTCTCAAGAAAAGCAAGATTGTCGCCAGCTGAAATGATGAACGATAATTGGAAACAGTTTGTTCATACTCATATACAACATTTATTGTGTAACAAAAGCAATCATGATATTAAACCTTTTGATACTAACTCAAACCCAAATGATTATAAGTAACATAGAATCATATAGTGATCGTGAACAACACTCTTGATAAGAAGTAACTAAGTAAGGAACCTGTAATGGCATCATTCACTGATTGATAAAAGGACTTTTCATCAGAATAAGAGAATCCCACTCCTGCTGGTGTATCCAAGTACAACATATTCGCCTCTGCCAAAACAACAAGGAATTCCCAAAATTATTTCCTCAAAATATGTATAATCAATAAGAGCATTCATCAAAGCCATCCATGGACGTTCATAGAACACAAAAACCTTGTCAGATAAGTGCCAATCATATCACTTAAATCATGATTTAGGGCAAAACTCGGCCACTATTGAAAACTTAATTCTGCAATAATACACTCAACATTGAATAATCAGTTATGGCAGAATTTTCAATGCAGATTCTGTATACCTTTATTCCAGCTACACTCATTTTTAACCAAAACATCGCCACTTGGTTTAAAAGGACCATGCTCAACAAAAGCCCCTTCTCCCACAGACGAACAACCAGGTCCTGCAAAAAAATAAACCAAATGCTTCACTCGGTATGCATGAAGTCGAATAGGTTTGGGGTGAAATAGCGAAAATTACCTCCATTCAACCAAAGCACAAGCGGTTTGGAAGATGAGTCGGATTCAGCTTCAACAAAATAGTAAAACAGAGATCTCGGTTTGGCGTCATCAAGGGAGATGTAGCCTGCAAATTGTTTGAATGTAACCGGCGGTTGGCCTGGTAATATCACTACCTCATTGGCGGTTGGCCTGGATTCAACGCCCTTGAGACATGTATGCATTAATATTATCCCAAACAGTAACTTTGCAGAGAGTATCCATGGCTCAGACATGATTGAGAAAGAGGCGTTTTGTAGTAGGTAACTTAAATCCAAAATAGCGTACAATCATCAACGCATTCTTCACAAGTTTTGGTTTCCATGATAGCGTTTTTTACTTTGTCGAGAAGGGAATCACTTTTCAAACTCAATCTGCAGGATTTTCGTTGTGACGAACAATATAGGATTGATTAGATAATTAATCAAGAAGAAGATGCGGATGTATGAGCCAAAGGTTTAGATTCGATTGAAGAACACCAACGATCACAATACAATACGATCTAAATGAAAAAAGTGGGAGAGAATTAAAACGTAACATTCAATATTGTTTTTAGACAAAAAAAAAAGTTTATGATTCGTCCATGGCTCCATGCAAATATACCAAAAGTTCTATGTTGTATGTTCGGTCCTTTACTATTTTATTTTGACACGAATGATCCATGTGTTTCAATTTTCATACATAGTTAGTCATTAATTCATGTTTTATTTTATATTTTTTAAACTCACGTAAAATGACATTTTTATGGTTTGAAGCGTTTGGTAATAGTGGATGTTATGTTCCTTTTTGTTTCTCAAACTGATACGGACCATCAGCCCCCTCAAGCCCAACACATAGTCAGGCCCAAAAGAGAGATACGCCCACGGCCCACCTGCAATGTTAAGGGATTAAAGGAAACCCAAGTCAAAGTGTGAGATGGACTTCAAAAAAGTCTAGAAGCTTCGGTAAGGGACGTGTAGACCTACACAAAAAGACCGGTCTCGGATTGGACCCGAAAAAGACCGAGACTGAACATGTCTAAAACAAGACCGGACTGAGAAAACACCGGTCCTAAAAAAGACCGGACCGAAAAAAGACCGGCTCGAGACCGTCCCGGACCGATCCGAAAAAGACCGGACCATTCCGAAACCGGTTCGAGACCTAGCGAGACTGGTTTGGGAAAAAGACTGGTGACCAAACTTTATAAATATATCATTTTTTTTGTTAATTATACACATTTTATTCACAAATTATCTAACTTATTTCATATGTTTCTTTTATTAAAATTAATTTATCATTTTTAATAAATCTTAATTTATCATTTTGGTGTTAATCACATATTTGTTAATGGAAAAAACTCGAAACAAAAACAAAAGAATCAATAAATACCGAAATCGAATAAAAAAAACCCGAAAATTGAACTGAAAAAGACGCACGGAAAGACATCGAGACCGGACTGAAAAAAGACCGGTCCGAATGAAGACCGGTTCAAAAAAAGATCGGACCGAAAAAGACCAGGAAAAAGACCGACGGGGACCGGTCCGGAAAAAGACCGGACCTTCCGATACCGACCTCAAAAAGACCGGACCGTTTCGAGATCAACCCAAAACTGGTCTGAGACCGCCAATGTGCAGCACTGAGACACTCCCTTGTTATTTTTATTTGTTGCACTAGTTAATTGTTCTTTACTTTCTTCGGTACTTTCATTCCTAGAAGTTATAAGTCGTGGGTTAGTTGTATTTTCGTTTTATTTATTTAAGTTTGTAAGCATTGCTTTGAAGATTATGTATAAAATCGTACCAAAACACATGTCTCTTCTTATAATCTTTTTGGAGTTAACAACGAATCGAAGAGGCCGAATCACAAATGCATGGTGTTTTTTGTTTTTTTTCATAATAAGAACGAACATGAGTATATTTTCAAAAAATATATAGAAGGGATGGCGGAGGAAGGTGTGGTGTTGGCGACTGTAGAAGGAGGAAGAAGTGAGATGCGAAGGGATGGGTGCATACAAGATGAAGCATTTGGGTTTTGATTTTTGGAAGAAGTGAGAGGCAAAAGGATGGGTGCATACAAGAAAGATCGCAAGTGTAACATCCCAAAAATTCAACAAATTTAAAACTTTTCAAAACAACCCTTTTACTAATAAAAGTGTTACACAATCATTGTTTTCAAAACAATATTTAAAATCAGAGTTTCCCAAGATCCAATCAGTCGAAAAAAACGAAGGATGTGTACGGTCACACATTCGCCTTGCCACAGTCCACTGAAGTACCTGAAACCATAAACCAAAACTATAAACACGAAGCTTAGCGAGTTCCCCCAAAATACCACCACACGAACATATAACATATACAAATAACAACATGTACTGGATCCACAGATAAAAGACTGGATGGCTTGCCTATCGGGCCAACAACTCATATCTGGCTTGCTCTTGAGCTCACAACATATGTCTGGCTTGCCCTCGGGGCCCACAGCTTATGTCTGGCTTGCTCCCTAGTCCAATCAGTCATCGAACTGGAATACTAATGTTCAACCCTCAGTACGAGTCTGGCATACCAACCGGTCCTCAGCTCGTATCTTGAATGCTACTAAGCCCTCAGTATGAGTCTGACATGCCCTACATGGCCCTCAACTCATATATGGAATGCTCCAGGGTTAGTTTGCTATAACACAAAGCAGTACAACCTCAACCTAACACAATATGTCGACATATACAAAACAAATAAACATATAATCAGTCAACAGGCAAACACGCAGATCTTTAGATCACTACTTCATAACAACATCCTATAAACTAGGATACCGATCTAACAGATCACTACAACATAGCAACATACGATAAACCAGGATATCAATCCAATAGGCCGGCCTTGGTGCCTTCGACCCAAAAGTACAGTGAGGAAAACTCACCTTTCGATCTGATCAATAGTTGATGAGGTTCCGACTCCGAATCTCAACTCCAACCGACACCTATCCCTCCAAGTGACCAATCACAATCAAAATTCCGAAATACCCAAAATACCCTTGAGGTCAAACTTGGTCAAACTCCATAAGTCAACTGAGTCAACCCAGCCGAGTCAACCTAACCGAGTCAACTCGACTGAGTAAACCCAGGGTGCGTAGGCGGGGGTACTCCGGAGGTATGCTGGGCTACACGTATCCTCCCAGTTGACCACCATCGGGGTGGTTGACCTCGTACGTAGGGCGTACTCCGAGTACACGGAGGGTACCCTCGCAAGTCCAAAAATTCCAGTAAGAGCTTAATGGCTTAAGCTCTTACGTCCAAACTTCAGATCCATGGCTAAAATACTTTTAGAAGTCATAAAGTCTCCAACTTTATGACCTAGCATGTCCAATGAGTGCTTAACACAAGCTCTTATTCCATTAAGACCTTCTAAATGATGTATGAAGCAAAACTAACCATTTGGAACCCATTTTTATGACGTAAGACCCCTCCTAGGGTCCGAAAGGACACCTCAAAGGTCAAAACATGCCATATTCAAGATCTAGCATTTTGGGACCAAAAAGTTCCATAAAGACATGCAAAACTAGATCTATATGCTAGAGGAATAAAGTTGCAAGCTTTTTATCATAGAATGGTTGCAAATGATGTAGAAATCCCAGATCCAAGTGTTCCACTCCTTCAAGATAAGCTTGGCTTCCTTCCTTCCTTCTTCTAAGGCACCAAAAACACACTTCCAAGCTTGAAAAGGCTCCTCAAGGTGAAACTAGGGTTGCACAAACTTATGAGAGGGATGGAGGCCGATAAGGTGGATGAAATGAGGCCATAAGAGTGCTTAAATACGAGTCACACCCTATAAATTAGGGTTTCCATAACTGAAAAGTATGCCCAACGTACTCTGATGTATGCCCTGTGTACTAGGGAGCGTCCTTGTACGCTCACCGTACCCCACGTACGCATGGCGTACTCATAAGGCCAAAATTACAAAAATTCCACTAGGGATCCTTTTGCACACTTTCTTGAACTTAGAGACCAAAATGCAATACATCTTTAATATAAGGATCAACAATGGAAGTACTTCAAAACCAGATTTTATTCGTCCATCAAGGAGGACATGAAAGGCCACCCGAACAACCCCTAGAACTTTGAGCAACATTTGCAGAAGAGGTAACTAAAGACCTCCGAGATGTATTGCGTACTCTCCTCGATGTTCAGGAAGAGTCAAATAGGAAATGAAAGCAAGATAAGATTTCAGAGGATGTTAACAAAGCGAAACAAGGCGAGACTGGATGCGAGGGTCAAAAAGGGTAAACTTCTAATAAGATGGGATACACTTTTAAGGAATTCGTGGATTGTAAACACACAGAGTTTTTAGGATGAGATGACCCGATAGCTGCTATGACATGTTGACACATATTGAGAAAAAGTTTCGTACTAGCAAATGTGCGGAAAAAGATAAGGTGGATTACGCCACCATTTGTGGGAAATAATCAGTAGTACACTGGGAGAAGAGTTGACAGGTATGTTGACTTGGGAGCAACTTAAAGTAAAATTTTGTGAAGAGTAATGTTCTTAAACTATAGTTCGACAATTAGAGAAAAAATTCTCCCAATTCATTTAAGGTTCGAATTCAGTTCAAGAGTACACCGTTGAATTCAATGATAAAGCTTGATATGCAAGGCACTTGGTCGATACAGAAGACAGAATGAGTGATAAATATCCGTGGGGATTGAGGACCCAGATACGAGAGTTTATATGAGATTCCAAACTAAAGACTCATAAAAAACTACAAGGGAAGAACAAGAGAGTCTCAAAGGAAGGATGTAGTAACCGCAAGAGAAATTCAGTACATATTACAACACCATTAATGAACACATGTTATGAATGTTCATAAGTGCACTTCCAAGTAGTTATCCCTTCAACACCGATAAATATGCCTTGAATGGTCAATGGCTATCATCACACTCCAACTTGAATCTAGTTCTTGTTAAAGCGCATGAACTTTCCTACAAAAGAGCCCAAGAGAAAAGAAGAGGAAGGCATGTGACTGATAATAATATGAGTCCAATATTTCCTTAAGGAAAAAAAATAAATCAACAACATAATGCCTATTGGGGTTGAAACAGTTTGTCACAAGCTCGTTCAACCGGTACATGACATGTTCTACAAGGACGGAAATGATATGACGTGCTTTAAGTGAATTGTTGACATTTCTAAGCCTCCCACAACTCATATCTTCAATATGATTAATGATTGTAGAATAATACAAATAGTAAATGGTTTCCATCGACTAATTTCACTAGAGATAAACAATAGGAGGGATAAGTTACGACAGAGTGAGTACATTGTTGTGAAACAGGAGATCATTGATGAACTCACTCTGTTGCATGCCACTTTATCAATAGGAGGAATATACCCTAGGGCTACGCCCAGTTGCATGCCACTTTATCAATTGTTTCATTCAATTTCAATCTTAGACGTATTTCAAACCAAGTAGCATTTGTGAGTTGATCTATACCAATTCATGTTCTTTAACTCTTCTACTAAGATGTTGACAATCCACATAACCTACATTATCCAATTGATCTTTCGATAGTCATTT